TGAGAAGCCACTGTTAAATATCATGTTACACGTGTTTTCGGGTCTTCTCTGTTTTTGTCGCTCATGTGTGACTTGTCAATGGCGAAGCGTTTTGCCCAACTGATTTATATTCTTCACCAGTGCCTATTTTGCACATACTTTTGACCGCTATTATATAATGTATAAGGAGGGCGTCCTTCACTGCTATTACTACTATTACTAGTACCACTACTACTACTAATGCTACTATAATTACTATTACTACTACAACTACTACTAAACCAGAACTGTCACCACCACCACCACTACTACTACTGCTGCTGCTTTTATTGTTGCTACTACTACTACTACTACTACAACTACCACTACTGTTGGTGTTGAAAAGAATACCGTGCATCCTCAGTGACTCGTGTAGTCGATAAGGTTGAAACCCCAATCACTATCTTGGCTCCTACACCCACTTAGTACGCCATAAACTTCAGTCTACGTACAATAGTTCTTAATTTCAGTAGAAGTAGACAGCTCTTCTCAGCTGATAGCATAAGAATCTCTTCAGTTTTCACAACTTCCACTATCAGCATGTCTTTCCTCTCTATTGGTCTATTAAATCGAGTTTCTATTGTAGTTGATCTATTAAAAACGAAGATTTGTAATAGATTTTGAAAGGTGTACTAAAGATGCATTAAGTCTTCTGCCTCCTGAGAGTACAAAGGTAATAACCTTCGCACTCTCATGTACTCTCGTTATTCCCATGTACTCTTGTGTACTTCCATATATCTCTGGCAACGAGGGGCAGTAAATAACGAGGATACGTTCAGTTATGCACGATTATCACTTCTGTTCCACAATGGGTTGAAAAAAGTAACATTTGCAACAGTTGCCAGATGTGTGGGTTACATGCTGCAACACAGTCGGGTCTTCAGCCACACCTGGACTTACATCTGTCAACTAACACCTGCTCCTTGATCTCTTACACCTGTTCCTCCATGTTACAGTCACACCTGTGCCTCTATCTCTCGGCTAACACCTGTTCCTTAAGAGCATAAGAACATAAAGGAGGAACACTGTAGAAGGCCTACTGACCCATACTAGGCAGGTCCTTATCAAACCCAAACCCTCTAATAAAAATATTTGCCCAGCTGTCATACCTCTCCCTCCCTCTCTCAGCCACACCTGTTCATGTTGCCTCCATCTACACAGGTGTCGCTGCAGCTGGTACACCCGAGATGGGGCCGGATAGGTCACTGGTGCGGCGGTGTGTTGATAGACCAACGATGGGTGGTCACTGCTGCCCACTGCATCAATAAGTGAGTAGATTATTCCAATCTTACATACAAGTGGCATAAACAGTGAATGATTCTAGGTGAGAAAGATGATAGGTGAGAATGATGGAAGATGAGAATGATGAGAGGTGAGAAAGCACTTAGAACACTGAACGATGCAGGGAGAAACAGAGGATAGCTTCAATTGACTCACGAAATCGTAATGACACGGGTTCTAACCCCGCCCGTGGTATTTGATAGCTTCAATTCCTTGGATCAAGAGCACTTCAAGGCACTTTATTGAAGGACCATCAGTCTGTAGCTCCTTGAGTCTGCTCGTTACATCTCATTATTATTATTATTATTATCATTATTATTATTATAGTTAACTACAGATCAGCAAGAAACCTGAACATGTTACCTAACACCTGCTGCCATGTTCACCTAGCAGTGAACAGGAACTCACTAGTTAGGTTGACTCCTGTGGGTGGCATCCTGGGAAGGATCGAAGGACTCCCATGAAATCCTTAGGGAGATCGTAACGATTCCCCTGGAAATAAGCCCCTCTGCTTGGCTTTCACGGGTTTCTCCTGGGTTGCTAACCTCCCCATTTTTCATATATTTTTATATAAAAATCTCTCATACGGATGTGTATACGCAGTTATATGTCTCACAGGGTATATACATTTGGGAGATTATTTTTATCCATATGTTAGGTAGGTAGGTATTAGGTTTGTCAGGAAACACGACAAGTGTTTCCTAACACCAGGTTTTAATCATATGATGACCCATAGATGGAGCTTTTAGTCATCTGGCCGAGACCTTCCGCTTTCATATTATAAGGAATAAAATATCTTTATATCTTATAGGATTTAAAGAACCCCCATGGAAATAATTCGATTTGTCTGACTGTTTTGGATTATCGTAGGTTCTCTACACATATGCTGTTATATATGATAATCTATGTAACTGTATTTATGTGTACCTGTGCTTGAATAAACTAACTAACATATGTTTAAAATACCCAGAATAATCTAAAAAAAAGTCAAAGTGACTTATTTCAATAATAATAATAATAATAATAATAATAATAATAATAATAATAATAATAATAATAATAATAATAATAATAATAATAATAATAATAATAATAATAAATTCTTTATTTCTATAAGTATATGTACAAGTTATACAGACCATAGCTGACATCAATAACTTACTACCGTAAAGAAAGCCCCTTATTATGCAGAGCATTTCGGACAAATTAGGTCAATCGCTTGTATTATTTCTTTAAAATTATGTCCTGACACGAGTCACTGTCAAAAGATGAGATATTAATTAAATAAGCATCCGCTGGTTTATCCCAGATAGGAATTTATTGTTGCTCTCTGTTCTTGGTTTATTCCAATGGTTGTCATATGAATTTTGGCGAGTCTTACTAAAATTTAGTCGCTTTCTCTTATGCTGATTCCTGTCCATTCTCTAAAGCCCTCGGTCTTTATTGACCATAACTCCCTTATTTTATTTATGTTGGCGAATGTATTATTTTTAAGAGATAAGATAAGATTTCGTTCGGATTTTTAACCCCGGAGGGTTAGCCAGCCAGGATAACCCAAGAAAGTCAGTGCGTCATCGAGGACTGTCTAACTTATTTCCATTGGGGTCCTTAATCTTGTCCCCCAGGATGCGACCCACACCAGTCGACTAACACCCAGGTACCTATTTGCTGCTAGGTGAACAGGACAATAGGTGTAAGGAAACGTGTCGGAATTTCCACCCGCCGGGAATCGAACCCGGGCCCTCCGTGTGTGAAGCGGGAGTTTTAGCCACCAGACCACCGGTATTGAGGATTTTTTTTATTCGCCGGTACTGTCCCGACCTGGGTCTTTTCCAAGAGTGGTGACCCGGCCTTGGCTCCCTATCTGGGGAGCATCTCGAGACCTAGGTCTCCCATGGGAGGAGGTACAAGTACCCCCTCATCTTTGGGACCAAGTGTCTCCAGGCCTAGCCACAGTCCCCGCCCTCACGGGGCTCGTAGGGAAAAGCTAGGCCTCTGGTCTGCCATGTGCCCAGCCCCAAACGGGCTCGTGGGGATGGCAGTCTTGTGAGCTACAGATGGTAGCAAGCTCAGGCCATTCTACTAGGTATTGAGGATAAACAGGCTATAGGCACATCAAAAAGTACATTGTATATATTTAAATTAGTGTAACAAAATAAAGTCAAGCAACCTGACTTATTCCTATGTGGATTATTATTATCTGTTTTTAACTTCTAAATAATAATAATGATAATAATAATAATAATAATAATAATAATAATAATAATAATAATAATAATAATAATAATAATAATAATAATAATAATAATAATTAAATCCTGTATTCTTACTTTTCTAGGTACAAACATATATATACGATTATTGAAAACCTGTAAATTTAAATTAATAAACAGGCCCACTGCAAACAATTAAAGAGGCACAAATAAATTCTTGCAACTGTAAATCTTTACTCTAAGAAGAGCTTAATAATGTCATGAAAGAGCTCTGTACAGAGCGAAATGTTGAACTAATGAAAACGTTTGTTCTTGTCTTATCTGTAGGTTAAGCAGGAGAATTAAACCCAGAGTGGATGCGATTTTTAATAATATATATATATATATATATATATATATATATATATATATATATATATATATATAATATATATATATATATATATATATACATATATATATATATATATATATATATATATATATATATATATATATATATATATATATATATATATATATATATATAATATATATATATATATATATATATATATATATATACAATATTTATGACATTCCCTTTCACTAAATCATTTCAGTTTTAAGACATTTTCTGTTTTTAATACATACCAATTTGAACTCATTCCTTTGAAATACATTCCCATTTTAATACATTCCCATTTCATTCAATTCCCGGTTCTAAACCACATTTACATATATACTTCCTTCTTTCATACCTCAAGATAACTTTCATACCTCAAGATAACTTTCATACCTCAAGATAATTTTCATACCTCAAGATAACTTTCATACCTCAAGATAACTTTCATACCTCAAGATAACTTTCATACCTCAAGATAACTTTCATACCTCAAGATAACTTTACTTGCTGTACTTTTCAGACCGGGTTCCATAGTTTTTTTCTCTGCTTTACAGAACTGAACCTTCATCTCTTGCCAGAGTCAAACTGAAATTTTATAAGGAATATTACTTTATATGAGGCATATTTCTCATATTCCTTTATTGGATGTTTTTTTTTTTTTGATATGAGAAGTATTCATTTATATGAGAAATATCCCTTTGTGTGTGTCAGAAGTGAGAAGTATTTGTCAAGTGGTTCATTATCTTTTGAAAGTGGCTAAGAATGTACATATATGCAGAGGATATATATACACTGAGAGGTATATGTCTCTCAGTGTATATACACCGAGAAGTGTATGTCTTTTAGTGTATATACACGGAGATGTCTCATAGTGCATGTATACCGAGAGATGCTGGTTCCTCACTGAGGGGTGTATGTGTATCAGTGTATATACACTGAGAGGTGAGTGTTTCTCAATGTATATACACCGAGATGTGTATCTTTCTCAGTGTATGTACACTGATAGTTTACATTAATTTCAGTTTTAGATATTCTAGTATTCTTGACTTATAGTGAACAGGTGACCCTCTTGTAGTAGATAGACTTGAAACCCCAAGAACTAACCAACCAACCGTAATGACCCTCGTGTAGTAGATAGACTTGAAACCCCAAGAACTAACCAACCAACCTTAATGACCCTCGTGTAGTAGATAGACTTGAAACCCCAAGAACTAACCAACCAACCTTAATGACCCTCGTGTAGTAGATAGACTTGAAACCCCAAGAACTAACCAACCAACCTTAATGACCCTCGTGTAGTAGATAGACTTGAAACCCCAAGAACTAACCAACCAACCTTAATGACCCTCGTGTAGTGGATAGACTTGAAACCCCAAGGACTAACCAACCAACCTTAATGACCCTCGTGTAGTAGATAGACTTGAAACCCCAAAAACTAACCAACCAACCTTAATGACCCTCGTGTAGTAGATAGACTTGAAACCCCAAGAACTAACCAACCAACCTTAATGACCCTCGTGTAGTGGATAGACTTGAAACCCCAAGAACTAACCAACCAACCTTAATGACCCTCGTGTAGTAGATAGACTTGAAACCCCAAGAACTAACCAACCAACCGTAATGACCCTCGTGTAGTAGATAGACTTGAAACCCCAAGAACTAACCAACCAACCGTAATGACCCTCGTGTAGTAGATAGACTTGAAACCCCAAGAACCAATAATCAATTATTATGATTTATCTTATTTTAATTTCAAATATTTTTTTATATATAATTTCATAATCGTCGTTGCTTTAAATTTATTGAAAATATCAAGATTTTCGTCAGATAATTTTTCCCTCTTTAAATTTATTAACAAAAATAACAGCTACAATAACAGAAATTAACCAACAACCGAAAACGACAAAAACATTTGCAACAATAACAACAACGACAAGTACAACAAACAAGGATTTTCAAGATATTTTAATTGTTTTCCCAAAAATTTAGGTAAATGTTATTAGAAGCAACGTCTCCGATCCTTTCAAAACTGGTTTTCAATGTTGATAGCAATGTTTACAATGTTGATAGCAATGTTTTCATTGTTGATAGCAATGTTTTCAATGTTGATAGCAATGTTTTCAATGTTGATAACAATGTTTTCAATGTTGATAGCAATGTTTACAATGTTGATAACAATGTTTACAATGTTGATAGCAATGTGTGAGTTAGTTAACCACTTTCCTTCTTGCAATGACCTCCTTGCATATTGCTTTTAGTTTTTGCAGCGAGGGTAAAGAAACTAATTCTGTTTTTTTGTAGATGTTAGCGTGTGTGTGAGTGTGTGTGTGTGGAGAGAGAGAGAAAGAGATAGATAGATAGATAGAGAGAGAGAGAGAGAGAGAGAGAGAGAGAGAGAGAGAGAGAGAGAGAGAGAGAGAGAGAGAGAGAGAGAGAGAGAGAGAGAGAGAGAGAGAGAGAGAGAGAGAGAGAGATTACGAACCAGGTGTTGGACTAGGAATATTGCAGTGTGCTGTTCTCACTGCCGTTCGGGCCGCTGTGGACCGCCCTGGTAGGACAGAGGGATCTTGGAGCTTCACAGGAGGAGGAGAAGGAGGAGAAGGAACCAGGAAGCTCTGAAACACTTCTCAAGGTGGAGAGAATCATCGTCCACGAGAGGTTCAAAAACTTCAAGAACGATATAGGTGAGTTTTGCTGTTCTGAGATTATTAATATCCACCAGGTAAGTTTTATAGTATCTTTTCTCATTCCGTATATAAGAAGTAGAAGGAAGAGCAGTAGCAGAGCATATAGCTTACAATGTATAGGACCTGGGTTCGATCCTGGGTGGGGTGAGACTTGTAGATAAGTCTCGTTTCACCTGCTTGTCCCTGTTTAACTGGTAGTCAATAGGTACCCGAGGGACTTAGTCTGCTGTTGTAGGTGGCATCCAGGGGTATAACCTAAGTATCTCAGTGGAAATAAAATGCTCTGATTGGCTTTAATAATAATAATAATAATAATAATAATAATAATAATAATAATAATAATAATAATAATAATAATAATAATAATAATAATAATCATTATTTCCACAAGTACATGATACAACTTATACAGACCATAGCTGACATCAATGACATATTATATAGACAGCCCCTGGTTATGCAGACCATTTCGGGCAAATTAGGTTTTGTCCCCAGGATGCGACCCATACCAGTCGGCTTTATTGGGTCATCATGGCTTATCAATTCTCCTGGGTCATTTATTCCAATAAAGTCTCCCTCTTCAGCTTCAACTTTTCCATTCTTCTTTATTCTAAGTTGATTGTAATAAGGAGATGACTAAGCTTAAAAAAAAAACGTGATTTATCACGTATGTGATAGACAAGAAATTCCCTTGGGGTATTTAATGTTTAGCATCTCAACATTTCAGTGAATAATCTGCTTATTGAAAAGGTGACACACACTTCAGTAAGTGTCCCAGGCTGATTTCCAGGCTGTCCCACCATATTAATAGATCAGAATTACATTGGCTATGGGAATTAACGGGAATTAGCCATTTAAATCACTCCAGCACCCGAGAACGACCATGCACCACCACCCACAGTTCTGAGTTGGTGGAGGGATTATTCCGTTTAATTCTAACAACGAACGAGACTCTGGTTCAGTCACTAGCCGACGTATCTCCAGCAACTCAAGTCCATTTCGCAATTTCCCATCCTGCTATAGGATTATAGTATATATAAAGGTAAGTTCTAAGTGGCTATTAAGCGCTAAGTTCAGTTTTAAGGTTAAGCGACTGCAACAGCGATGCAGGTAAGTTCGAAAAGATCAGTGATAGTTTCTAGCTTAATTATTACCATTATTTAGAGGTCTGAGTCCATACGGGTGTCATACAGCGGCTGGTGTGTAGGAGGTGATAAATAATTTAGAAAACCGACAAGTTGAAGAATGAGATAGTTTTGCATTATTTGGGAATATTTAATGAGGAGACTTTTCGCCACACAGTAGCTTCATCAGTCTAATGCAGAGAAGAATTTTAGGAAAAGACGAGGATTTTGAGGTAATCAGTCCCTCAGCCTGGAACCAATGTGTTCAGTCCAGTCTTCAAGACTGATTAGGGTGGATTTAAATCCATGGAAGGGTAGGGTGGATTTAAATCCATGGAAGGGTAGGGTGGATTTAAATCCATGGAAGGGTAGGGTGGATTTAAATCCATGGAAGGGTAGGGTGGATTTAAATCCATGGATAAGGAGCACTTTACCTGCCTCAAGGTACTCTCTTGAAGGGTGAATTTAAGACTGTTTAAGACTTTAAATAAAAATTTCTTTAAGTTTGGCAACCTTAGTTCTTCTTTCCCATCATCTTCAAAGTCTAAGGTTCAAAGTATAGACTTTCTTTGAAATGTTTCAACACGGATCAGAAATTCTAAGAATGATGAAGGTCGAGTCGAAACCTTTAATATTTCTTCTATATTCCTGCTACTGAAGAATGTTATATATACAGTCCATTACTGACTGACATATACGTCTATCACACTGGTCTGATAGACCAAACTTTTTTCACATTGGTCTGATAGACCAAACTTTTTTCACATTGGTCTGACAGACCAAACTTTTTTCACACTGGTCTGATAGACCAAACTTTTTTCACATTGGTCTGATAGACCAAACTTTTTTCACATTGGTCTGATAGACCAAACTTTTTTCACACTGGTCTGATAGACCAAACTTTTTTCACATTGGTCTGATAGACCAAACTTTTTTCACACTGGTCTGATAGACCAAACTTTTTTCACATTGGTCTGATAGACCAAACTTTTTTCACATTGGTCTGATAGACCAAACTTTTTTCACATTGGTCTGATAGACCAAACTTTTTTCACACTGGTCTGATAGACCACTTTTTTCACACTGGTCTGATAGACCACTTTTTCACACTGGTCTGATAGACCATTTTTTTTCACACTGGTCTGATAGACCATTTTTTTTCACACTGGTCTGATAGATCAGTCTGCTACGTCTTCTATTCAGTGTTCTATTTTATCTGTTTTTTCGAATAGAAGAATTGAAATTTAAAAAAAATCTTATCTATCACAAGGAAGCTATTGAAATTTTATATATCACACTGGATCTATTGGAACCTATCTATCACACTGGATCTATTGAAACCTATATATCACACTGGATTTATTGAAACCTATCTATCACACTGGATCTACTGGAACTTATCTATCACACTGGATCTATTGGAACCTATCTATCACACTGGATCTATTGGAACTTATCTATCACACTGGATCTATTGGAACCTATCTATCACACTGGATCTATTGGAACCTATCTATCACACTGGATCTATTGGAACTTATCTATCACACTGGATCTATTGGAACCTATCTAACACACTGGATTTATTGGAACCTATCTAACACACTGGATCAATTGGAACCTATCTATCACACTGGTTCTATTGGAACCTATCTATCACACTGGATATATTGGAACTTATCTATCACACTGGATCTACTGGAACCTATCTATCACACTGGATCTATTGGAACCTATCACACTGGATCTATTGGAACTTATCTATCACACTGGATCTATTGGAACCTATCTATCACACTGGATCTATTGGAAATTATCTATCACACTGGATCTATTGAAACCTATCTATTACACTGGATCTATTGGAATTTAATCTATCACACTGGATTTGTGGAAATTATCTGTCACAAAGGTGCCAATTGAACTTACCCATCACAAAGGTGCCAAGTGAATTTACCCATCACAAAGGTGCCAATTGAACTTACCCATCAAAAGGTGCCAAGTGAATTTACCCAACACAAAGGTGCCAAGTGAACTTACCCAACACAAAGGTGCCAAGTGAACTTACGCATCACAAAGGTGACAAGTGAACTTACCCGTCACAAAGGTGCCAAGTGAACTTACCCGTCACAAAGGTGCCAAGTGAACTTACCCATCACAAAGGTGCCAAGTGAACTTACCCATCACAAAGGTGCCAAGTGAACTTACCCATCACAAAGGTGCCAAGTGAACTTACTTACGGTTTCCTCACTGCTTAATTTACAGTTCAATAATGAAACTATTAAAAAAATTCCATTCGAAAATTGAAACTGACCTTATTATCTAAGCTCATCTCTGCCTTGGGAAAGAGGTGCCTAGATGCTGGTATAGGGCTCTTGATCCCAGAAACTGGAGCTTCCCTTCTTCCCTTCCGATCGAACCTGATTACCCCCACCCCAGTAACCCTTGGCGCTGCATGATGCCCCTACGAATTAGGCGCTTCCCAGTACGGATATCAATGATATTATATTCAATTTTTCAATTTTCTACTTTTTTCTATTTATTTCGTAATTTTTTCCTCATAATTTCACCCCCCTTTTTTTAAAGATTTTTTTTAATAATAAAAAAAAGGTCTCTGGTTGAGGCAGAAGGTTCAGTCATGTAAATGTTAACATTTTTATTAATTTTTTTTTTTACTTTTCGAGGGGATATCAAAAATAAATATTCCTCTGACTGGTATTCCTCTCTCACACATCTGGACGTGACGTAGCTGGTCGCTTCTGTAGTGTGACACACACACACACACACACACACAGGCAATCACCTGACAATCACTTGACAATCACTTGACAATCACTTGACAAGGGTAAGGGTTGACTTGACAGTTTCCTTGCAGTAAAGCATTCAGCTTCACGAAAACAGCTGCAGTGTGGCAAGTCGTTCTCGGAGAACACGACCGCTCTCACCTCGATGGTCGAGAGGTCGTCCTCGGGGTCCTCACCATACTGACTCACCACGACTTCAACGACTATCAAAACGACATCGGTAAGAGGGTTAACACACACACACACACACACACACACACACACACAAACACACACCTACTTACTCACTTAACTCATCTTTCATCTGTCGTGTTGTGACGAGAGGCTGACACCAGTTCACAACTAACTCAGTATCTGGCAACCAGATGTTTTGATTAACCAGATGTTTTGGTTAAACAGATGTTTCAGTCCAACCGGCTTGAAAATGGTCCAGAACGGACCGGAAAGGTCATCCAGCTTTCAGTTTCAATTTGGGAGTTGATTGTGAATGGTTCCAGCCAGGGAATTGTGACTTTCAGCCTTCTAATACTGTTTAACAGCTGGCAGTTTATGTATTGTTGATAGACGGCTTCTCTGACTGTCAGTCTTGCTGACTGTCAGTTCCTCTGACTCTCAGTCTCTTTGAATTTCAATCTTGCTGAATCTCAGTAGTGTCTATCCTCACGAGTCACAGACTTCACCGTCTATTTATAGCTTTTCGCAAGATGATTTTCACTTATATCTCGTAAGAATTAACGACGTCACTCTAGATAGGACTTGCAGACACCTTGTGTATGTGCTGTCACTCTGCTGTCTCTTAGAAGATACCTACTTTCTAATGTTTCTTTCTCCGCTGCTGTCTTGCTCTGCAGATAGCCTCGGGGTGAAGAACATAGTCTTCTGCTATCTGTCCTTCTGTTGTGCTTCCGTTTATCATTTTTTCACTCCATATCTAACATTCTTGTCTCTTAGAAGGAAGAGAAGACAAATGTTGCAGAAAACAGGACTTTAATGGGTAACTTTTCTATTTCTATAGAGCTTTATCAGGTCATGACTTGATGAAGGTCTCTGTTGATCGAAACGTCGTTTCAATAAACCTTGTTCTGGAAAGTGTCATCTCTAGTCTTTTAAGTGCTGCATCACTATTGTTTTTGGAAGGGAGACTCTAACCTTAGTAGATGTGTTTCACTTTGTTTGAGTGTGGGAGTTTTCTGGAGAGGGATAACTAATTTAGTGTCCGCTTCCGCAGCGCTTTTCAAGTTGCGACAGTTGTCGAGTGTGGGCTACCCCGCCCTCACTCCTATCTGCCTGCCAGACTCCCTCGAACTTCGCACTTTCTCCTTCGAGGGCCTCCGGTGCTTCGCCACGGGCTGGGGAAGGATGGACACTGAAGAAGGTCCCTTGCAATCCCTCCTCCAGGAGACCAAGGTACCGGTGTTGGCTACTAGCGTGTGTTCTGGTGCTTACAATACCTCCCAGTATGGCTTCGTGAAGCTAGGAGGGGGCCACCTGTGTGCTGGAGTGCTGGACGGGTCGGCAGGCACATGCATCGTAAGTATCCTGCTGGAGGAGTGGGCAGTGTGGGCGGGGACACCCATAAAAGGCAACTGTTGTGCGGTTTGTGGGCGCTGTGGGAGGCTGGCATGAACTAAATCCATACTGCTAACACTCACTTGCTACCTGTGTCCCGCATGAGTCTTATACCTCGTTGCATGCATTCTGGGAGAGACAGTAGTAGTAGTAGTAGCAGCAGAAGCAGCTGTGGGGACTCCTGAAAATGACGTGTATTCCAGCCATGATGAAACTTCGTGAGAACGTGGTGTATACAGATCACGTTCAGCCCATCTGCCTCCCGGACACGGAGCCACTGGAAGGAGAGACGTTCCTGGGAATCAAGTGCGTGGCCACGGGCTGGGGCATGAGAGTCCACGGGTCCCACCTGGAGGACCGCCTGAAGGAGGTGACCGTGCCAGTGGTGAATAACACCCACTGCGTCAAGGTGTATGGTA